AATAACTCTTTTACCATCTCTCCATCTTGAAAAGACTTCTTGTGCTTAACAATTATTAAAGTGACTCACCCGGACTGATGCTTCGCTGCTGTGGTCTGCTGTAAGAAAAATGACGGCTGTCCAGATAACTGGGATTTTAGTTCCTTCACAGTTTTCTTTCTCAGCCAACTTTTCAGAAGGAAGTCAGCGATGTAGTTTTTATGAATAGTCCGAAAATGCCGCTCCGGTGAAACGCACTTCGAATTGTGAAAAAAAAAGTCCTCCCCTCATGCCGTATGGAAATGGTAGATTTTTTTGCTTACTTGGTCCAGCTCCCCAACACATTTTACACACTTTCTTGAGTTTGGATATAAACTGGGGGCTATTACGAGTCAATTCGTTTGTTTTTAGCGCAGTTGAATGTGCATGCGTGGTGACTTATGCGTCAAAAAAAAATCCGGCCTCTGATTGGCTGCCCTGTGTGTCAGTCATGGGCGCTGTTGTTTATGCCTGCATGGTGACCTATGTGTCAGAAAAGGTCTGTCTCTGATTGGCTGCCCTGTGTGTCAGTCATGGGTGCTGTTGTTTACGCCTGCATGGTGACCTATGTGTCAGAAAAGGTCTGTCTCTGATTGGCTAACCTGTGTGTCAATCAAGTGACAGCTTGCATAGTGAAGATAGATTGATCGGCTGACGTTTATTTAAAAATAAAATTTAAAGAAATAAAAAAATGGTCTGGCAACTATTTGGCCGTGCAATCTACTGATATAACCTTCACAATCTACCCGTACATCACGATCGTCGTATTGTGCACCCCTGATCTACAGCAACTTTAGGATCTGCATAACCAAAACTCACTTTGTTACATTGTTACCAAAGACAGCTGAAACAATATCATCAAGTTATATAAGTCTGATCAAGCTCCATGTAGTCATTGATTGATTGATTGATTGATTGATTCTTAGTACTTTGATGGTGTCATTGTGTGCATTGCCTAACTTTCAGAGCAGTCTTGTGTATTTGTACTTTAGTCTGGAGGCATTTCCTCTGAGTGGTTTGCAGAAATGTTTGTTGTGCAGATGCACATGCTGATGCTGGCTGTGTGCATTTTAAACCGACAGTGAGCTCGTTGTTGTCAGTTTGGAGCTCTCCCCTGAGACAGACATGAGACAGCTGAGATCACTCCCACCATAGTCGTGCATGTGTTTGTTTGTTGTCAGACAAATATAATCGGCACGTTCTGCCAGCTCAACGTTCTTTCTCTTCCTTTTCTGGATCTTGTGCTTCCACAAACTCTGTAGATTCAGGACTTGTCTGGATTTTATTTCCACTTTTAATTATACCACAGAGGACATATCTCACTCACACTAACCCAGTGCTTCTCAATTATTTTCTGTTGTGCCCCCCCACAGAAAGAAGTAAACATTTCACCCACCCCCAACTCTCCGCCGCGACTGTAAATAGTATGTCTATAAAATTGTTATAAGTACACCTCAGCCTAACATTATGTCCTTATTAACATTAAAGAAAAAAAAGAATATCGATCAACTTACAATGAAGAATAACTTTATTAGCATTGATTTTTTTTAGTCTGTAACAGAAACAACTTACAGTGCATTCATTTGCCTGAAAAAAAAAATCATTTTTTAAACTGTAAACATTTATGACCGTTTGATACTGAAAAATAAAATTAAATATAATCACTAAATGATAAATTCAAATTGATCAGCAACATTTTAACTCAGGAGTGTTATATAAAACACTTTGACATGCAAACAAAAATTAATAAAACAATTTATGCTGATTCAAAAAAAAAACAAAAAATCAAAATGAGGAAGTCAGGATCAATGAGCACACTCATCGATAAACAAATAAAATTGTCAACATGAAAGAGAAAAGAGGAGCAGGTAACCCTCTTGCTTTGAGTTACTCTTTGTCACCTGCATGCTGTGGGTGACAAGCATCCAGATCATCAAAACACAGCAGCTTAACTGAGGAGGTGAATTTGTTTTGTTAGCAAAGAATAGAGTCCTAACATTTATTAAACATTACTTCTGTAAATTGTGCTTTGACTAACTTATCAATAAAACTAAAACATTTTGTCAACGCAAAAGAGGAAAGAGTGGGCAGGTGTCGCTCTCGCTTGAGTTTACTCTTTGTTGCATGCGCGCTGTGAGTGACGTCCGGAGCGCGTGGACATAAAAACAGCAGCGGAGGACGGAGGAGGTGACGGTCGGAGTTTATTTATCGTGTCAGCAGCAGAGGAGAGAGAGACGGTTCATTCATGGCTCCCAAAACGACAAGGCAGCCATATTTGTTCATAACTTTATTATTAGGAACGCACGCGACAAAATGAGAATGGTGAAAAAAAAAAAAAAACTACTCCCTGCGGCAAAAAAGCATGTTTTTTAGGGTCACATGCCCCCCCCCCCCAGCATTGCCCCAGGCCCCCCCCCAGGGGGGCGCGCCCCACTATTTGAGAAGGACCGCACTAACCCAACCTGTTGATTCAAGTCAGACCAGTCAGCTGGGCTGTTTTGAGACATCATCAGATCTTATTTACTCTAATTCAGTTGCTTAAAATACACCCAACAGTCAGAGCTGACTCCATCTAACTATATTTAAAAAATCATTTGACAGATTATACATATTTCAAACTCTTTTTGCCATCTGACATCTGAAGTAATAATGTTGCTCTTCAGAGCCTGAAAACATTTAGTGAAATGTATTGTTTCTTCACAGATAAAATGAGGCAGAATCAAGATTTCTTTTGATTGTTGTTGTTCTAAATGTACTGAACCTGGTGTGTACATGTATGGTTTGTTTTGAGAGCGAGGAGTGGAGGAGTAGTTTCCTTCAGGTGTTAGTCTCTTTTTCTTCACTTTCTTGAACTTTGTGTGTTCTTCACAGCAATGCACAGTTGGTGTACACCTGATTAACCAATTCTAGGAAATACTGTGTTTGTGTGTGTGTGTGTGTAAATGTGCATGTGTGCATGTGCGTGCGTAGCTCCTGTAGAAGCTGTTTCCAACAACTACAGTTGTTGTTTTATCTAAATACTGCAACACAGTAAAACTACATGAATTCTGTAAAGACCATTTTCACAACAGCTATTTAATTTTTTTTTTTAGTTATTGTTATTTGTTATTTTTTGTTTCCTTTGCACTAAATCAGTAGCAGCAGAGGCTTTGTGCAGCCACAGATAACGTTTTATAACTTTTATTTTTCAGTAAAAACAAAGGCAGTCCATTTGACAGATATAACACTTTTTAGGTTAGTGTTCAGGAATAAGACATATGGGCCATTTTGTGTGTGTTTGCCTTTTGTGCACATGCCTGCAGCTGGGAATTATGTTCAACTGAAATATGTGGCCAAGTGTGGTGTAAAGAGATGGTCCTGTGCTTCTCAGTGCCACTGTGTGAAAGCATCTCACGTAGAATTGTTTTTGTGAGCAACAGCCCTCCTGGCAGAGCCATATGTTAAATTAGTTTCACCACCAGCTCTTCCTGTCATCACAAAGAGCAGCACACGGCTGCACGTATGGACACCTGTGGATTAAACGAGTTTAATGTAGCCCCATGTTTTAGGAACTCGTAATGGGACGGGGCTGGTCTTAGTAATGTAGGCAGCTGGATGTGTGACTAGTTTCTCAATGCACTCACTTATCACGGGGGGTTACGTTACAGACACCTTCACGATAGGTGAAAATCTGCAAAGAAGGAACGTTATATTTATTTTAGTATTTATATATATTTAAGGCTTTATAAACCCTTCCCACATTCTTGCATTGTTCTTCACAATGTTCTAAACTCTAAACACTCTAAAAGTGCACAGCGAAAGAGAGAAAAGCCCGGATTGATTGTTTTAAATCAACAATCCATGCTGCTTGTGCGGCTCACTCAGGTATAAGACAAACCCCACCCTCCTTCTTTTTCCGAGACTGTCTGTTGTGCGTCCCATCTGTTTTGTGTCTCTACTCTGCTGTCTGCTGCCTCAAAAAGAGAAAGGCGGGTGCGGGGTGGTGGTGTCTGTCATACCTGAGTGAGCTGCACTCAGCCACACTCTGGTCATCTGATCTGTTCATCCCTGCTCCCTGAGCAGTAGTGATGTGGAAAGACTGACCCCACCACACTCCATCCTTTCTCCTTCTGAGGCTGTCGGTCACAGCAAAGCAGCCAGACAGCCTCAGAAAGAGAAAGGAGGGGTGGGGTCTGTTTTTCCCTATCACCAATTGTGTGTTGTGTACAATCTTACGTTGAAACCCTGCGAAAAAGCGAGTCCACGAAAGTCAAACCAGGACGTATCGAGGGACCACTGTACTTGGTGCTTTTGTCATGATACACAATACATACTTGAATTTTTTTTTTTTACCACAATACATGTGCGTGTCATGATATTTTTTGCCTTATCCTTATCCTAATCCCTTAATAATTGTTAAATTAAACACTGTAATGTGTCAAATTCAAATCTACCTTTCTTTTTTCAATTGTTGTTTGTTTTTCATTTTCACATAACAAGGTGAGCTGCTAATTGAGCCGATCATGAGAAACTTTTTGTTGTGAACTTTGCAGTAAGCTCAGGCCGACAAAAATTTGAATATAACAAGAAAACTTGAAAAAGGCACTTTCAAATTAAATTGTGCTTTTAACTACAACCCTTAACAAATGTAAACATTATTTATTTAGTTTAAACCATTGAGGCAAAAATCCAGGTTGTGGCTAAAATCTCTGTCAACAAAGGACAGGCAGCTACTGAGCCTACCTTCTGTATATTCATTTATTATTTGTTTTTCCACTATATTAACCCGGTGAATCAAACCTTTTTAAAAACCTTGTAGCACAACAACTTTTGTTGCATCCTTGTGTTGCAGAGAAGCGACAGTTAAATCAAATTATTACTGCAGATGGGATGATGTTGCTTTTGTTGAATCTTGTTTCACTTCATTGTTTGTTGGCTTTTGGCGTTCATTTTTAAAATCAGTCTATTTTGCAAAAGTAAGTGATGTATTTGTGACTCCACAGATGAGCCAACAGAAGCAGACGTTTGGTTGCTCAACAGCTGTACGGTGAAGAACCCTGCAGAGGACCACTTCAGGAACTCCATCAGGTACTGGAACAACCAAACAAGCACATCTTACACACGTGTGTGTCTTCTAGTTTAAAACTGGATGAAGGTGTTTGTTCATTGGCAGGCACTAAATAGAATATTTGTAACATTTTCAATGTTAGAGCAGAATAAACCAGCCAGGACTGGTTGGACCAATAGAAATATTGGATAAAATAAGCAGCTTTAGCTTCTTTTCTTTCATCTTGGATGTTGACTGTAAAAGAAATAACACAATGTTGTGGCTCACCAGAGAGCCGAGGAGATTCAAGGGGATTTTGGATTTAAAATGGAAAAATATTGTCCTGACTGAAATAGAATAACTGAACATAAAGTATATATCTTATATCCATATTTCAAATTACAATACATCGAACAATGCAAAGTGTATCTTTAAAATATTTGTGGCTATTTCAAAACTTTACACTATTTCTGACCTGAAAATAAGTTATTTATTTGTGAGTATTATTACTATTATCATGCATAAACTTATGGGTTCACATGTTTGTGTTAGATCCTCCCCACACACACACACACACACTTTCCTTTGCATAAATGCTGCTAAATGAAGCTGAGAACTGTTTTTGCATTCGGATTAATTTGCCGAGGAGCATACGCACCTGGCAGATATGAGATGGAGCCACTTGTTGCTTTCCTGTTTAAAGGTTGTAGTTTCTGACGTTAGTTGAGAAGTCCAGATCTTCATGTATGTATATAT